TTCAATCATTTATGAAATTCTATTATCCATCAAATCACTTGTCCTCATACCTCCTAGCAAAATGGTGTTGTCGAATGTAAGCATTGTCATTCGTTAGATGTTACCCCCACCTTAGTGTTAATATGCACGTGCCAAAACCATATTGGGCTGATGCTTTTCTTACTAAAACTTATCTTATTAATTGCATGCATTCCTTCATTTTAGACAACAAATTTTTTTTCGTTGCTTTATCCTAATACACGACAATTTGGTTTCACTCCTCGTATCTTTGGTTGTGTTGCATTTGTTTATCTTCTTGGTTTGGGTAGGGATAAACTTTCACCTCGCTTGGTTAAGTATGTCTTTTTGTTCTATTCTCATACTCAGAAATGTTATCGTTGTTATGAACCAGTTTCTCTTCGATACTATGTCATTGCTGATATTACCTTTTTTGAATCGTTTTCTTCTTTTTTGTATTTGGTGATATATTTTCTCCATATTTAGACTTTCCCAATAAGGGGGAGCTTTTGTTGCCCATTGTACCGGATTGTATAACTTCTTCCTTCGTTTATCATCGCTCCAAGGACAGATAAGTTGTTCTATATGCTCTTGCTTTACAACCATCACTTGATTTTACTGAGACCCTGCCCCCTGAGCCTCATCATCTTATGATTTTCCTATTGCATTGAGGAAAGGTATCCATCACTGTACAAAGCATCTCATTTTTCATTTTGTTTCTTTGCATCAATTTTCACTATCCTTTTGTTGTTTTGCATTGACTTTTTCTTCGGCATTTGTTCCTAATTCTTTGAAACAAACATTGATATATTCTATTTGGAAACTAGCTGTGGATAAGAAAATGAAAGTCCTTAATGAGAATCAGACATGGAATCTTACTACTCTTCCTTCTGGTAAACCGCTTGTCAGTTGTCGTTGGGCTACATAGTGAAGTATTATCCTGATGGTTCAGTTGAGCGTTTGAAAGCCCGTTTGGTTGCTAAAGGTTACACCCAAACATATGGTGTGGATTATTGTGAGATTTTTTCTCAAGTTGTCCGTCAGTGAGTTGTGATTGATCTTTGTATCAACTGGACATCAAGAATACTTTTTTACGTGGAGATCTACAGAAGGAGTTATATGTGCTACCATCTCTAGGTTATGTTGTATCTAATAAGAAACAGTTAGTGTGTCGTCTGAAGAAAATACTCTATGGCCTGAAACAATCACCACGTGTTTGGTTTGATAAGTTTAGTACTGTTGTACTTCAGCATGGTTTTCAGTGTTCTACTTCAGACCAATCAGTTTTTATTCGCCACTCTTCCACAGGTGTTATTATTCTTATTGTGTATGTTGATGACATTATTATTAACAATGATGACTCAAATGATATTGCCTACTTCTAGGTCCATCTAGGAAAGCAGTTTCATACCAAAGATTTAGGTAGTTTTCGATACTTTATTGAGATCGAGGTTACTCGGTCAAAAGAAGGTATTAGTTTGTGCCAACGAAAATATGTATTGGATTTATTATCTGAGATTGAGACTCTTGGTGCACTTCCAGCTGATACTCCTATGGACTCTACAGTTAAGTTAGATGCTGAGAGTGGTAAAGTTTTCGATGATATAGGGCGCTATTAGAGGTTAGTTGATAAATTGATTTATTTTACAGTTACACTCCTTGATATTACCTATGATTTTGGGGTGGTTAGTTAGTTTATACACACTCCTTGTAAGTCTCATTAGGAGGCTGTCTATCATATTTTTGGTATCTGAAAGGAACATCAGGTAAAGGATTATTATATTGTCCTTCATCCTTTATGATTGTTGTTGGTGTCTTTGATGCAGACTAAGTAGGTAATCGTACCGATAGACGATCTACCTCA